AGAAAACAACCAATAAAACAATATTCACTTGGATGCAGAAAAACAAGGGAGAAAATATTCACATTGATGCAGAAAAAGCAAATCATAAAATTCAATCCTCATTAATGAAAACTTCCTTAGCAAACTTGGAATAAAAGAGAACATCATGAATCTGATAGAGCATATCTGTAAGAATCTTCCAGCAAACCTCGCATTTCATTGTGAAATATTGAAAGCTTTCCCTTGAGATCAGAAATAAAACAAGGATGGCTGCTATCACCAATTCTCTCTGACATTTTACCGGAAGGCCTATGTAATGCATTAAGGCAAGCTTAGAAAATGAAGAAATAAAACTGCCATCCTTCACAGATGACTGGTACACAGAGAAAATCCAGATAAATACAGAGATAAGCTATCACAATTAACGCGAGTTTAGCACAATCACTCGATAGAAGGGAAATACAGCAAAAAGTCAATTTTATTTACAGATATACCCAAAAACAAACAAAAAAAAAACAAAATATAGAAATACATAAAATACATCAAAAGTAGACACTGATCCATTACAAAGCCACTCAAGAGCTCTAAATAGAACATTTCAAACCACTATTTTAAGAAGTTATAAAGCACTTAAGAAATACTCTACTGAAAGATTATCAGGACATTCTAAGTACTCAACTTTTGAGGCCAGGTTCTTCTTAGCGGTGACCAATGCATTTTGGACTCTTCTTCCTAATGTAATTTAGAAGTAGAATGATTCATTGTCGTATAGTTCCATGTTACAGTTAATATAGTCTACTTTTTTTCATTTTAATCACCAGATGACTTTTAGCTTTGAACAAAATGCTAAACTTTCCATTCTAGGAAGGATTTTTTAAAAGATAATGTCATAATTAGAACCATTCAAAACCAAGGATTACAGACCCCAGAATGAATTTTAAAACTTCAACAAGGTTTGTGATTGCACATCGTCTTTGGAGCACGTGGAGGCCCTGGGACTCACAGGGCCAGCCCTGTGGCTGATGAGGAACACCCAGCCCTCACTCAGAGTCCCTCTAGATCAATGAGTTTCACTTGAACGTCACCATCTAATCATGCATGTAACACATACTATGCGTGCTTAACTGGGACAGGCACTGTTTCAGGAACTAGAGACGCAGTGGAGAGTATAGTCTTCTCCAGGTTCCCTTTACTCTGTCCCTCCTTTCAACTTACTCCTTTTCCCTCTCACATATATTTCAATTACCGTAAAAGACAGTGGCCACAAAGCAGTGCTATTCAGCTACTGGCATCCCACATCAGTTTCTATGGTTTGCTCCCAGGTCAAATTAGACCTTCCAATTTAGGCTCTTAAAGAGCTGAAGGGGGGGTTCCCTGGTGGTCCAGTGGTTAAGAATCTGCCCACCACTGCAGAGGACCCAGTTGAATCCCTGATCCGGGACCTAAGACCCCATACCCCATGAGGCAACTAAGCCCACACACTGCAACTGCTGGAGCCCCTGTGCCTACAGCCCACGCTCCACAATAAGAGAGGTCACCACAACGAGAAGCTTGTGCACTGCGACTGAAGAGCAGCCTCCTCTCACCAGAACTAGAGAAAGCCCACACACGCAGCAATGACGACCCGGTGCAGACCAAAATAAGTAAATCAGTTAGTTAACTTTAGAAACAGAACTGAAGAATTATCAAAAAGACGTGGAGACTTACTCTAAAAAAGTAAAATTGTGATAGGGGTAACTGTGGTAACCCACTTTAATGAATTGTTTGGTATACAAATAGCTCATGGAGCTCTACATTAAAAAAAACAAACCAGCAACTCATTCAAAATTGGGGAGAATAAATCAACACTTCTCCAAAGAAGACATACAGATGGCCAAAAAGCACTTGACAAGATGCTCGATATCACTATCAGAGAAATGCAAATCAAAACTGAAATGAAGAATCCCCTCACATTAGTCGGAATGGCCATCAACAAGTCTACAGACAATAAATGCTGGAGAGGGTGTGGAGAAAAGATTGTCCTCCTACACTGTTGGTGGGAACATCAGTTGGTGCAGCTACTATGGAAGAGTATGCAGGTTCCTTAAAAATCTACAATAGAGAGCTACCATATGATCCAGTAATCCCACTTCTGGGCATATACCTGAAGAGAACCATAATCCGAAACGATGCATGCACCCAAATGTTCACAACAGCATTATTTATGATAGCTAAGACATGGGAGCAACCTAGATGTCCACCAACAGAGGAATGAATAAAGAAGATGTGGCACACATATGCAATGGAATATTACTCAACCAGAACAAAGAATAACAAATAACGCCATCTGCAGCAAAAGGAGGGACCTAGAGATTATCATACTGAGTGAAGTAAATCAGACAGAGAGAGACAAATACTATACGATATCACTCGTATGTGGAATCTAATTTAAAAAGATACAGATGAACATATTTACGAACCAGAAACAAAACTGATGGATATCAAAAACAAACTAACGGTCACCAGAGGGGAAACGTGGAGAGGGAAGGATGAACCGGGAGCTTGGGATAGACACACACACACGCTACTATATGTAAGGCAGATAACCAGGAAGGACCTGCTATACAGCATAGGGAACCCTACTCAGGGCTCTGTGAAAACCTAGATACGCATCTAAGAAAGGATGAGCACATGTACATGTATGATTGAGTCACTGTGATGTACACGTGAAATACAACACTGTAAATCAACCACAATCCAGTAACACTAAAATATTTTTAAATGGATTATTTTCTGGCAAACCGCATACTATCATGACATACATTATGACTGGATATTATAGACCACACTGTCTTAGAAGTTTTCCAAGATGAAATTTTATTAGACTGAACATTACTGATTATCAAAAAATAACTTGATCAGACCTACAGCTTTTAATTTTAAAACAATAAACTTGAAGGCATTATTACAAAACAATGAATTGGGGGCCTACCATATACCAAGTTTCAGGTTATGGTATTAAGTAATTCAATATTAAAAAAAAATAATGTCTTTCCATATATAATAGCATTCTTATATTCAGAAGATAATGCTTTGACATATGGTTTAAAATATATCTCAGCCTCCCTTATATTTCCTTTTGATATTTACAAACCTCACAAGCATAAAAAAAGGGAAAGGCTACTGTCTTGGTAATAACATTTCTTCTGCTTTCCTGACTTGAGATAAAACTTTTTCCCAGTTTTGTTTGTTTCTATCACAGCTGTTCTGATGTCTTCCTGGTGTTTTGTAGGGTTGCTATCATCACAGAGGCTATTGATTTTTTTTTTCCTTCAAAATATCTGTCCATGTTTCTGCTGCTCTTTCTTTACCCTTAGTGCATACTAAAATTCTCTTGATTCTAAGGTAAAAATTACATGATTTGATTTAATTCCTCATTTCTCAGATGCGAGATGTAATGAACTCTGGATAGTATTATGATAGTGTAATATTACAATTGTAACATCATATTTTAACTGATAAGCTTGGAAATCTACAATGCATGTGTATGTATTACAACCTCTGAGAAGGACAGAAGATAGTGCTTCACTGTCCCTAAGTAAGGTTTGGAATATTGACTTAAAATCATGAAGACTTCTGAAGAGTTGAGAAACTTGTGGATATTTATCTCTTTACAGTATTTCTAACAGAAATAATTTACTGTCTGCTTCAATGGTCCCCAACAGTGCCTAAACTAGCCTTACAGATTTGAAGACATGCTTACATTTTTAAAAATTTAGTATTATCACAATGAGGTACCATTACACACCAGTCAGGATGGCTGCTATCCAAAAGTCTACAAGCAATAAATGCTGGAGAGGGTGTGGAGAAAAGGGAACCCTCTTACACTGTTGGTGGGAATGCAAATTAGTACAGCCACTATGGAAAACAGTGTGGAGATTTCTTAAAAAGCTGGAAATAGAACTGCCATATGACCCAGCAATCCCACTTCTGGGCATACACACCAAGGAAACCAGATCTGAAAGAGACACGTGCACCCCAATGTTCATCGCAGCACTGTTTATAATAGCCAGGACATGGAAGCAACCCAGATGCCCATCAGCAGACGAATGGATGAGGAAGCTGTGGTACATATACACCATGGAATATTACTCAGCCATTAAAAAGAATTCATTTGAATCAGTTCTAATGAGATGGATGAAACTGGAGCCCATTATACAGAGCGAAGTAAGCCAGAAAGATAAAGACCATTACAGTATACTAACACATATATATGGACTTTAGAAAGATGGTAACGATAACCCTATATGCAAAACAGAAAAAGAGACTCAGATGTATAGAACAGACTTGTGGACTCTGGGAGAAGGCGAGGGTGGGATGTTTCAAGAGAACAGCATTGAAACATGTATATTATCTAGGGTGAAACAGATCACCAGCCCAGGTTGGGTGCATGAGACAAGTGCTCGGGCCTGGTGCACTGGGAAGACCCAGAGGGATCGGGTGGAGAGGGAGGTGGTAGGGGGGATCGGGATGGGGACTACATGTAAATCCATGGCTGATTCATGTCAATGTATGACAAAAACCACTACAATATTGTGAAGTCATTAGCCTCCAACTAATAAAAATAAATGAAAAAAAAATTTAGTATTATCAAACAGAGAAACAATTTGTAAGAAGAAGGAATTAAGTCAATGAGAGGAAACATAAAACAAATAAAAAATAAAAAAGTGTATGACAGTTTGCATAACTTGTGACTAAGTAGGACAAAGGAAGAAGATGCAGTACTATGAGTGTGTGTGCTGAACGACCCAACCTGGTCAGAGATGTCATCCAGAGTAAGAGAATTTCATCCAGTATCTCCCAGTGAGGTACAGATGAGGAGGAAAAAGCTTCCTGGAATAAGGAATAGTGTCTTCAAATCCATTTGCCAAAGCAAGCACTCAGTGAATGACATATTGAAATAATTTCAATCTTTAAGATGAGAGAGCACAGAGGAAGTGGAAAGCAAGATAAGAATGCAAGTATATGTAGGGTCCAAATACCAACTGTCCTGGAGACTGTGACAACTTTATTCTTCTTCTGAGACCAAAGGGAATCACAGCAGGGCTTCAGCTGGGCGGCTGATGTCACCACCATCGGGAGGCTGTTGATGGCAAAAACCCTGATTCAAACAAAAAACTGCATGAGGAAAAAAACGAGATGACTGGAGAAGTTTAAATATTTACTGATACTCAATACTGTAAGAAATTACTATTATTTCAGTTGTGACAATGAAACCACACATAACATTTTTTAAAAGATTCTTTATCTTGTATAGGTATCTAAAACTACATAGAGATGCAATGGAACGGTGACTAGAATGTCTTCAAAGTCATCAAGGAGGCAGTGTGGTGTGTGCGGTACATACAGATACATCGAGACTGACCATGAATTGATAATCATTAGAGCTAGACAAGGATGCTGATGGAGATTAACCTGAGTGAGAGGGCATGAAGGGCCATGTAGTGTTACAGTGGCAGTAACTGCTGACTCGGGGCCTACGGAGCCTACTGGGGGATGGAAGCGCAGGCTGATATGTAGGCCTTCAGGCTCATGCCTGAAAGGACAGCAGTGCAATTCACTACGATGGGAAACCACACTAAAAGACCAGGTTTTATGCTGCATTTAAGAAAAACCATGGGGCCCAAGAGCGCCATTCTACATCTAGAGAAGCTATGAATTTGAGATGTCTTTGAGACCTCAAAAAGAAGATGCTAAATGAGTAGTTGGATGTGTATGTCTGGAGCTCAGAGAAAAAGTCTGGACAGGATGTAAGAGTCTGGCAGTCACGTGTGTATCTGTGGTCTTAGAGCCACTCTAATGGAGGGAGGAGCCAGGGAAAGACTCAGAAGCATTCTTCAGGTAAATTATCCAGGGCAGTGGGGTGGTGGAAACAAGTGGGTGAATTTGCAAATATCAGAAATATCATTTAAGTCAACAATCTTTTCTTTTCCATGCAACCTTCTTCTCCAAGTTTCTAGAAAGGACTATGACTGACCAACTTGGATTTCATATGTGATCCTTCCCTGACGGTTTCAATGATTTTGAAAATCAGCAAAGAGCAAACTAGAAAACAGCTGCTGAAAACTTAAGTTTCATATAAACATGCAAAACTATTTTCCTGAGATCTTTACCTGATACAAAGCATGTCCAATAGTTTCTGAAATTGACCAACGTAGAACAGAGAAGGTAAAAAAAGTAAACAGCAACAAAATTAAGCTCACTCTGCATTGAGAGAGTATTTTATGCTTGTCAACAAAATTTTAAAATTAGTATTTCATTCAAAGGTCACAGCTATGTTTCTGATAGATAAAACAAAGTTATTTATATTTTACAGATGAAGAAATTCAGAGACAGGATTCTCCAAGACTGGTTTATTAAATAAGGTCATATTTCCAATTAAGCAACAGGCCAGAATTTGTAGTAAAAGTCTAGCTTGTGCTTTATTTGGCTCTTTTTTCTAAGATAATTAATTCAGGCAGTCTATCTGTCATAGGTTCAACAGTGTCTCCCCAAAATTCCCTTCTACTCAGAACATCTGAATGTGGCCTTACTTGGAAATAGTCTTTGCAAATCTAATGAGTTAAGGATTGAAACTGGATCATACGCAATTAGGGCGAGTTCTAAACCCAGCGTGAGTGTCCTCAGGAGAGAAGAGGATGTGCGAGCACAGGGGAGCAGGACTGTGGACACAGCGGCGGAGACAGAAGTGATGGGCCCACGGCCGAAGACGCTCCAGGAATGAGCTGCAGGCTCCTTCTAGAAGCAAAGAGCGAGGCAAGACAGTTTCCCTCATAGCCTCCTTAGAGCACTAACCCTGCCAACACCTTGATCTCAGACCTCCAGCCTCCAGAACTGTGAATGAAGACATTTCTACTGCTTTAAACCACCCAGTTTGTGGTATCTTGTCACAGCAGCCTTAGGAAGCCAGTCCACCATCACTTAGAGAAAACAATTTTTGTTTACTAATAAAAACTATTTTCATCACGAAGCTAAATGCCCTCTGATTCCAGTGTCTCTCAAAATGTAATGTACATTTCTCTATGGTGAATCTGGAACTGTGAGAAAGCAGAACCATTGACAGTGTTTAATTTATTTCTTTCCATTTGCAGCTGCAAATGAAATTTGCTTATGTTATGGCTGATTATATTTGAAGTATAGACGTTCCTTCTAAATTTCTCTCCAGACCTCAATTTATCTTCTTACATTTTTATTCAAATGTTCTTCCATTTTTAAACATAATTGAATCACAATCTCATTAAGGGTGAAAGTCATGTCTGTGTGCATTTAGTTGATTACCTGGTGGATGGAACAATAGAAATACCACTCACTGCCTTTTTACCAAATCAAACCCCAGAAGTGATGGATATTGTCCCACTTATCTCTAACTTTCTGAATCTGACATAACAAAACCAGCAGGAGAAACTTCTCTGGGACTAAGAAAGAGAAAAGCAATACCATTTTTGAAGTGTTTAAATACTGTGAATATAGCGCAGCTTGCTGTCAGACCACATCACCCCACCTCCTAAATTTTTTTCTTTTTCAGAAAAAGCTTGTCCTTCATCTCATCAATCACACAGCCATTACTCTGTATAGGCTGGAATATTAGTCTTTTCATCCTTTCACCTTGTCCCTCCAATTTCACTCATCCCTTTTTAATTCAAAATCGTATCAAGATTACTGTTTTTTAAAATCCATTTTTAGCAAAAATCTAGGACTTATCTCTCCAGAGAAATAATAAAGATTAGATTACAACATAGCTTTAATATTTAGAATTAGCTCCAAGGAGGGCACACACTGAAGATGGATTTTTTTTTTTTTTTTTTGCATCATAAAGCTCTCCTTCTCCAATGCAGTCTTGGGGACTCTGCCAAATGCAGGTGATGGTGGCTGACACCCTTGTACAAGCTTTGAATACATAGATTCTCCCTGCTTTCATCTGGGTGGTCCTCACTGATTTCCACAGGAGAGTTAAGAAGCAATGTTTGTGCTTGGTTGGCACTTGATAGGAGATTTCAGTGTGACCATTTCCTAAGCACAAACACAGATTTGGCTATTGTTTTCAGTGGCTGATTTTCCTCAGTAACTTAAGCCTATGCAATACTTTGTCCTGTTTTCCAACATACACTCTGTACTCATGATCCAACTTTATAAATATCTGTACAGAGGCAGCTTGATGCCTCTGACATGTTATTTGACACGTGATTCATTTTATTAGGTTATATCTCATAATACTTTCTTGCATTTTTATTTCTGCTCTTCCATGTGGATTCCAACCTATCAGCAATGCCACTGTGCAACGAATTGAACTGTAGTCACACAAGGATTGATTTTTTTAGCTTGTGCCAGGCTCACAAGGAAAACTAAGGAATTTTTCCAAATGACCCTCTGCTATTTTTGCCTTTGTAATTGTGATATACAAATCGAGGCCGTAAATGACAATAACTAACTGACTAAATAGGAAAGTGCTCATGTTTTAGGAGGAGATGTACTTCCCAAGGGAAAGAGAGGGAGGAGGAGAGAGGCAGGGAATGTCTGGAAGCAGAGAGCAGGTCTTGTGTTACTCAGAGGCCACTGCTTCACAAAGAGACACAGCTGGCGGCCCAGCTAGCAGCCACCTCTGGACTCTGTCCAGCATCAGTGGACAAAGAGAGGCCACGAACCCCCAGCTCCTGGTCATCTCCTGTCTCACTGGTCGAAGCCTGGCCCAGTAGGACCTGACTCCTCAGTGCCAGCTGGTGTCCCCCAAGCATTTCAGATGTTCCCAGGTGAAGCCACACGGCACACTCTGGACCACAGCCCTGCATTCATGCCGGGAAGTGACGGGAGGAATCAGCCTCAGGGGATCCATCGGGGTGCGGGGGGGCAGGGGGAGAGTGCGTGCTGGAACTTCTGTGTCTCCACCAGTGGTGACACGGGGGTCCTTCCAGATGCCAGCACTCACCCTGGGGGGGCAGGAGGAGGACAAGAGCACCTGCGCTGTTAGATGATGGGGCAGGGGCCATGCTGTGGAGGGGGCGGCAAAGGCTGGGACGCTCTCCATAAATAAGGAGCCAAGAGCCCAAGACGCAGTGAAGCCAAGAGAAACGTGACCCACGCACGTTTAAGCTGGGAAAACTGACAACACGATAAAACATCCTGAAGGCAGTAAGTTCTTCCAAAAGAGAAAACAGGAAGCTGAAGTGTCCCTGAGTGTACGTCACTGCAATATACAGCCACCTGCCCTCCCGACAGAGTAAGCAGAACACAGTCACAGTATTTAATAAAGGGAGTCCTCAAACCAAGGGCCTGCAGCTGGTGTGAGCTTAGAGGAGTAAGTGAAAATTAAATTCA